CGAGAGAGAGCGAGAGAGAGCGAGAGAGAGAGAGAGAGAGAGAGAGAGAGAGAGAGACGTCTAGTCTATAGAGACGAGGTGGATAGACTGCCACCGTCCTTTTCGACTTCCAGCCAACACGCACGCAAGTACGAGAAGGTGCGCGGCAAGAACGGCAGGCAGCGAGGATTCGGCGTCCGTCTAAGTCGCCACCAGCCCGTCGTCGGCAAGTCCTTCCTGCTGCACCAAAAGATCTCCGAACTCTGCGCCCAGATGGAGCTGGAGAAGAGTGGTTAGACTGGCCCCGCAGCACTTCTTCGCTTGGGCCGTACCAGGTGCGTGCCGCCCGTCACCCGTCTAACCCCGCCGACGTTCGCTTGCCTGGGATTTGTGTTTTTTCGGAGTGATGCGAGTTAACAGGTGCGGTGGCGTGCGCGCTCGCGAGGTGGGGCTGGCATTAGCTGATGTGGGATTCCGTCTTTATTTTTTGTATCTCCTTTAATTGTCTTCTCTTCCTGCATGTACGCGTTAAGGGGGGCTTATGTCGGGCTTGCGAGCCGACTCGACTGGAAGCAACTGGCGCTCATAGGGTCTATGTCCCCCAGGTTACTGCCGGAACGTACCCTGGGTACGGTCCGGTATACTGGAACGTAGCCTGGTAACTATTCGATATGGTTAGGGTTAGGGTTAGGGTCAGGGTATAGGATTAGGGTTAGGGTTAGGGAGTAGGCGTAGGCGTAGGGTACTGCCTAGACTTGTTAGTGGAGTAGGCGAGGTACGATCCGGCATATCAGATAGTACCAGGGTACGTTCCGGCAGTACCCTGGGGGACATGCATAGACCCTTTCAGCGCAACTGGCTGCAATTCACTGCGACTGCAGTGCTTAGGTCGGTCGACTGCGACGCGACTGCCTGCGACTGGCTGCTTGCTCGGAATAGAACAGTGGGCAACTGGACGCAACTAGTCGCTGCCGATCGCTTCCAGTTGCTCGAAATCCAGTTGCTTCCAGTCGAGTCGGCTCGCAAGCCCGCCAGAAGCCCGCCAGAAGCCCCCCATTAGAGATCCACGTCTGTGTTTTCTAAGGACGCAGGTGCTTTTCGACGTTGGATTTGTGTGCGTCTTTCCTTGGCTACGGTGATGTTAGCATAAAAGTAAGGTTGCAATCCGGAGCCCGTTCTCAACCAGTTGCCATGACTACTTATATACGTTTCTATGGTTACCGTGTCGGCCGTCGAAAGTGCCGTATTTTTGCACACTGTCGAGTTTTTCACAGAAGCTATGACAGCCTATAATTGCCATGTTTATAACTACTAACGATGTTTTTGGCACGGGGCCATGTCTGCAGGTTTGCTTTATCGTAAAAAGTCTTTCTCTAATGTCGAAGCTGCGCAGAAGTTGTCGATGTTGCTCAGTAGTTAGCAGCAGGCGCTAAACGAAAACTCGGGGGGGGGGCGGAACTGTGGGACAGAGAAATCCTGCTGTAAACTTGTATGCTGTATGAAGAAACGCACGCGCGGGGAATGTTATTGCGAGAGTCGAATACCCGCCTGAGCTGAGATTATGAGTATGACAGGGTCGTCAGCTATATAACAGGGATCGCTAGGATGAAAACACTGCGACGAAACATTAAAATTAGATTAGATTCCATTCAATATTTGGCTATAGATTCGATATTTGTATATAGATTCGATATTTGTATATAGATGCGAGTGTATAGATTGCCAAAATTAATGAGTGCCAAAATAAATGCCGAAATTTATAATATAAATATAGTAATAAATATGATTTCGATGTGTACGATTTTGTAATGAGCCCTACTGAACAATTTATATAGTCGTCTGTTTTGTATGTTAAGCGAGGAAGAACTTTTTTCACAAGTTCCATGCGAGTGTTTATTGTTGAAGTTGCCCCCAAGTGCTATACCTACTACTACCACAACCAGTATTCTACCATAGATGATTCTATACTTATAGAAATGCTAAATCATTGTGACGCACGTGTGATGAAAAATATAAATAAAGCGCAGAGGAAGATATGCAGAAAAATTATTGCGAGTGAACTTTCGAAACTGAACTTTTCAACTTTCTGTTCGGAGACTGAGTGGAGCGAGTGGGGGCGGATGAAGAAAATGCCGAGTCGTGGGCGTACGGTGAAATATTATTCGACTTGGAAATGTTTTTCGTGCTGGAAACTCGTGCATGTTTTCTTGTTGACGTTGAGTGCAGTGGAATCCGACCTAATTTATTTTCCACACCTCTCCCCCTCTTCCGCATATGCCTCTTCTTGCTCCTTCTCCTCCACTCCTCACCCTTCCTCGTCTCCTCTCATTTTCCTTCCTTCTCTCGTCTCCTTGCCCTCGTTGCGTTCTCTTTCCTGCCTCCACCCCTTTCCTCGCCTTCTCCACACACGACTCGTTTGCCTCCCTCGCCCCCTCGTCCTCCTCCCTCCTCCTGTCTTCTCTTTCCTCCGTCGCCTCCCCCTTCATTTGCCTCCCTCGCCCCCT